AGAGAAAGTGCGTACTTAGATCTCTCCCACATATCGAAACTTTTCCACATGATTACGTCCTCATTATTATGTTTTTATAACTGAAAGGATATCAATCGTTCATTTAATAAAGTGTTACGAGATCTTCAAATGTATTTTGATTTAGTGAAAGAATTAAAAGGACAAAACCATACTTTACAACATCAATCACTCTCTGTCTGAATTTCTAAGATGAAGAATTCTCATTATTACACATTGATTTGTTCGAACTGACTCCCTCATATTGTTATAGTCACGGTGCTTTGGCCTTTGTTTACTTTGGCCTAAGCGTGTGGTGTAATGATAGCGGCTAGGAATGAGAAATTTGAGAGTCGAATTGGAAGTCCAGTCGTCTTAATTATATTCATTTACGCGCAATTTCCATCGGTAAATGGTATAAACACATCTCTTCACTTCCAACTATGGGTTAAATAGTAGGACAGACTGGGCTCTCTATTCGTGGTTTTCACCCAGTTTAGGAGAAGGACAATTCTGGATGCTAAACCTATAGACGGACTTTAAGCAAGATCTCTTATCAGTTTTCGACCAAAGTGTTTAATAAAAAAAGAACTCATTTAATAAGAGTTGTGCGAGGATCAATGTAATGGATTATGCAACAAATGGAATGAATTATTCTTCCTTCTTTAGGTACCTGCCATATCCGGTAACGTTCTTGGGATTTCGAATTGAACACTTTATTCAGTATACAGAGATTAACGTTCTTTATTTCATGTTAGGGGATATATCATATTACAACATATTGTCAGATTTTATTATTCAAGTAAATAATACAATAAGATTGGTATTCCGAACCGACGTTAATAAATTATTCAACAGGATATCGTGTGAGTTTCAGACTATGAGGGTTGTTCAAAAAGTTCTTAGCCCTACCCAGAAAGAAGAGGCATAGCTGAAGATTTTTGTTGTGGCAACACACTACCACTTCTTATAGAAGTAGAAAAACTAATTCAGATTTCTGTTTTAATTTCTGTACAGGTGACGATTATACAAAGGTGAGAGGTGTGCGACAAATCTAAAAATAAACAAAACAGAGTCCCGAGCTGTCATAAAGTATCTACAAAAGAAAGGTATCACATCGAAGGAAAACTATGAGGACATGGTACAGACAGTTGTAATGACTTCCCTTTCTATGCAACTGTGAAGGGGGCTTCAGAATTTAATCGGGACAGGAACAGCACAGAAAATGGCCCTTGGCCAGGTCGTCCAAAAATCTCAACCACGATAAACAAGTTGATGCTATTCACTGTATGATTTTGAATGAGAGACGTCTTACTGTCCAGCAGATAGCTAAGTCCATTGGTATTATTTCTGGTTCAGGCCATACTCTTTTAACTGAGATCTTGGAAATGAGCAAACTATTTGCAAGCTGGGTGCCAAGAATGCTGACACCAGAGCAGATTTTGAAAAATGTTCACATTTCTAGGACACTTTTAACTCACTTCTAAGCTGAACCTGTGAATTTCGACTGCTGATTAGTAAATCAAGATGAAACTTGGGTTCATCACCGGAATCAAAGATTCAAAGTAAACCTTGGAAACACACTGGTTCTCCATTCAAAGAAGTTCAAGCAGGTAGCGTCTGTTGGGAAGGTGATGGCTTTGTTTTTTTTAATCTGAAGATGTAATCCTGATAGAGTAGCTGGAAAAGGGAAAAATAATTATGGACAATAATATGAATTAAGACAATTGAAGTTAGCAATCAAATAGAAACGTAGAGGGAAGCTGAGGGCATCACACACTGCTCAGATTACAGTAGCTGAAACAACCAACTGTGGCTTTGAATTGCTACCCCATCTTCCTTATTCACCAGACCTAGCTCCACTAGATTTCTCCCTTTTTCCTAAACTCAAATCCCACATCGTGGTTGCCATTTTGAAAACAATGATGAGATCATATGTGTTGTGGAAGAGTTTTGGAGAGGACCAGGATGCAACCTGCTTCCATGATGGGATTGCAATGCTTAAGCATCGTTGGACCAAGTGCACTGGTAAGATTCTTTCTGCGTTGAGAAAATATGGGAAGCCAGAGAGTGGTAGTAGCACATCTGAAGCTATAACATATACCATACCCACATTGCAGCTGAAGTATATCTTGCCTTCACTTTTCACGTTAGGGAACATATGATAGACAAATTAGGAGAATAGGGAGGGTGATAAACCAGCTTAAAACCACATAGCAACCACTGAAACCATGTCCTTTTGTATCCTATTATTACGGGAAATACTAAGATACTCATTTAACATGCAATACCCGCACCAAAGAAAACTATACATTTAGGGGGCCTTATGGTTGCATTTGTACATTTGAGGATGGACTTAGGATTCGGTTTTTGTACGCAACTAGATGCATTTCAAGTCTCCAGAAAACGTCTCTGTCTCTCAGTTGTTTGCAGATTTTTACGTTTCTTGCATTGTTATTACCCACTCTTCATTTAGAAAGCTTATGAAATGATCTAATCTTTAAGTGCAGAGTAATATGGTACTATTTATTCGGCATGTCTTATTTCTGGCACAAATAGGTCTCTTAGCGAGGAAAAGAACTGACTAGTATATATATATATATATATATATATATATATATATATATATATATAAAAAAGTCAACATTGGGGTCAACACTTAGAGGCGACAGTCTGTTTCATGTTAGACGCAATCGTCGGCCCACCACATCGCGTCTAGCATGAAACAGACCGTCTAAGTGTTGACTTCAATGTTCACTTTTATATTGACTTTTATATTTACACACGCTCTGACTCTGATATTGAGCACTTTATCCCATAAATATAGCACACCTTAAGACAATATTTCTATATATATATATATATATATATATATATATATATATATGTGTGTGTGTGTGTGTCTGTGTTTGTGTGTGTGTATGTGTGTGTGTATTTGTGTGTATGTGTGTATATGTATATGAACTGATTATGAATTGACCTAATTTTTTAAGTACAGAGTGATATGGTAGTTATTTATCTTGTTTCTAGCCCAAATATGCTTCTTAACGAGGAAAGAACTGCCTAGTGCATATATATATATATATATATATATATATATATATATATATATATATATATATATATATATATATATATGTGTGTGTATATATATCTATCTATCTATCTATATATATATATTAGACCAGTTTGATATATGAGACCTGTTTGCCAACAAGTGCATCACAATGACGCGCCCTACTAGTTAATGGAGTATCTGAACGTAAAAGTGTTTTTCTTTTAGTCTTGAAAATATCATTACTCATTTAGAGGGGATGTGCGAGCGGTGTATTGCATAGTGACTCTAAAAGAGAAATCTGAGAGCTGAGTTCGAATTCCCGTCACGTTGGTTACATTCACTTACGCGCAAATACTCATGGGAAAGGTATGAACCCATCTCTCCCCCAGTTATAGGTAAAATAGTAGAACTTCTATCAAGAAAAATCATTGTTATTCTCAAATTTTTTTAATGTTTCTTATTCACTCGCAAAAAAAGCATTATTCTTATAATATAAAATATGTTTCGGCTTTAAATACCACAAAAAGGTTTGAAAACCCGTAAAAAACAAGTCAATTCAGGCTCGATTAGAATTTTTGTACGATACCAAGCGATTCTATTCAGGGCAATTGTGGAAATCCCATTCGAAATTTACAGGGGATTTCAGAAAAATTCCGTATTTTGTCAAACTTAAGAGGCTCCTATTTTTATGTGAATTCGACTTTTACATGCGTTTATATGGGATATACAGAGCCTAAGGGCAACCATTCTTCCAAAGCTCACGATTAATGATATAAACCGCGTTAAAATTGTGGCTTCGATATTTGCTAACGTAGTTATCATAATAATTAACAACTACTAAAGATATACATAGTTTTGGGATTGTATTGTTTGCATTCGTGACTGACTGTAGCCAAGTCCATTATGTTAGAAGGCATATTGACCAAAACCAAAAGCAAACTTATTGAAATAAGTTGGAGGAGGGTTCGAAGGTGTATAAATGTGCTTCTCGGTTGTTAGTATTCGAAATTGGAGAGTTGACACATGACATGTTTGCTTTCCCATTGCTTCTCAAGGACCCGGATGACAAATGACAGACGGCGATGACACTTGCGTGCACCGAGGAAGACGGAAAGAAACGAACAGGTAGGCAGGTAAATTGGGCGCTGCGTAATAGGCAGATACGAATGGCGACGTATTTGCGAATGTTTGTAACATTTGAATAGATGACGCATGCGCAAGCGTGCATAAACCCTAAATGTACGAACTCTCGTGGACAGAGAGATTACTTAGGTTTGACAAGAAGAAAAATATGAAGAAGCAGAAGATAAAGAAAAACGACGAGACTTTGAAATAGAAAATATGGAAAAATAATTGAAAAGGTAATGGTTTATTGTTAATTGACATATTGCACAAAGTAGATACAAATGCAAAAATAGAATACTGACTTGTAACGGGCATTAATAGAACATTTTAGAAGAAGAAATCAAGGAGGAGGAGGATAAGAAGAAGAAGAAGAAGAAGAAGAAAAAACAACAAGAAGAGGGCGTATTTGACTAGTAGTAATACTTGCACTAGTATTTGATCCGAATTATGTTTTAAAGTTTATATTTCAAAATGGCTGCTTGTTTCAGCCTGTAAATGAGAAAGTCATAAGCTATTTAGTCTAGAAAGCCCACTGAACATTTTATTCATCATCGAGAGTGGGATAGATAAAAGTAATATTTTCATTTACATTGTCCACATTTTGAAATTCAGAATGACCTCTAAATTAGTTTGCTCTCCAAACTAGACCGCCCAGTCTGTCTGCTAACGGGAAACTATGATAGGTAAAATAGCAGAGTAAACCAGTTTCTCTAGCCTTGTTTAGCAAATAATCAGTAAGTCTGAATTCAGAATCGTAGAGAAGGTAACAAGAAACAACATTATTATCTTTCCCAAGAACAGACATGACAAAGTGCTTATGGCCACATGACGTTGAGACATTGATTCGCATACGATCATCGAAGTTAAGCAACGTCGAGCCTGGTTAGTACTTACATGGGTGACCGCTTGGGAATACCAGGTGCTGTAATCTTGGATGTGCGGGTGGTTTAATAGACAGTGTCTCGGTATTTTTAATCTAAGAGCCAAATATCCTTAGGAAAGGTATGAATCCACCTCTTCTCCTCCCAGCTATGGGTTAATTAGTAAGACCTGTATCACTAAACAAAAAAATCTTCAAGTCTAAAATAGATTTTCTGGTTTTAAATAACTTACAAAGGGTTGATAAGCCGTAGAAAATGACTAAATCAATCAGGCATGGTAGAGAATCTGTTATTTGACAGGATCGGAGGCTCTATTGTTAAAATTATTTCTGTAATGATTAGACATTGGTCAGAGTCAGCACAATGGAACTTGGTTGAATGCTGAGACAAGAAAAGAATTATTCCTCTATTGATATTCAAACAAAATTAATAATGATAATAATTATGAGAATAATACTATTTATGTGTTTGTTGTTGACGTTATGTAGCAAGTAATGTGTATCCATATAAATAAGCCGCCGATGCAATGGTATCGTCCATAAAACATGATGGTGATGTGTTAAATTTTCCTTCTTCTTCCCCAGTTAGAATGCATCTCGCTTGACTGTTCATCTGACTCGTAACGATCATTCACTGAAGTCCAGCTTGAAACAGAGAACATTTTTTGTGCACACATTGTTAATAGAAGATGCTTCTTGCAACTTGACTTTCGGTTTTGTGAGTAACATTCGACAGCTTTCCTTTTCAGTATCGAAGAGAAAGCATGTAACACATTTCTACATTTTGCTACGATGTTTTTTTTCTGGTTGTTGATGACGACAAGGATAATATAAAAAGTAATGTGTATCCATATATATATATATATCTATCTATATATATATATATGTGTGTGTGTGTGTGTGTGTGTGTGTATATATATATATATATATATATAAATATATATATATATTTTCTGTTTATACGTTATTTTTATAGCTACAAATATTTAAGTAAATGCTCTGTTTATAATAAGCAGTATTAACAACATTTATGGACTTGAATGACCGAAAAATTTCATAGAAAAATTGTGTTCTCCGACAGGAATAGAACCTCCACCCTACACTGAACCGTCATATAGCCTGACATATTTTCTATGAAATTTCTCGGACATAATTGTCGGACTTAGCCCATTTCATAATATATGATGTCATATTTACGTTAAGATACGCTTCGAGCTGATATGAGCTTTCGAGGGAAAGCATGGTAAAATTTGACCTTGTTAACCAGGCGCTTCCTCTGTAGCTAAATGATATAGCACGTCAAGCTACAGGTTCGATTCCTATCGGGGGACACATATTTTCTATGAAATTTCTCGGACATTCAGGCCGGTAAATGTTTTTAATAATGTTTATTTTAAACAGAACATTTACTTAAATATTTGTATCTATAAAAATAACGTATATGTGTTAAAACAATTGTTGAACTTAGTCTATTTCATTATATATATATATATATATATATATATATATATATATATATATATATATATATATGTGTGTGTGTGTGTGTGTGTCTGTGTGTGTTATTTTTGACTAACACTGCATTATATCACCATAAGGGTTACTACACAGCGATGGGTGAATTACCTATCTCTAAATAGTGGTCTTTTTTGTTGACGTATTCACTAATCTTTATGGTCACCTAGTCAAATAAAATTTTATCTCCTGTTAATCTTGATAAATAAAACATCATAATATTCAGAGAAGCATTGAATATAAACAAGAAAATGAAGAGCAAAGTAAAGCTTTTAATATTATATAATCATAGGTTCATATAATTATCTCTATGTATAAAAGGCAGGATGTGTGTGTGTGTGTGTGTGTGTGTGTGTGTGTGTGTGTGTGTGTGTGTGTGTGTGTGTGTGTGTGTGTGTGTGTGTGTGTGTGTGTGTGTGTGTAACGAATGCACGGCCGCAATTTTCGACGGATTTGCACCAAAATTTACATGCACATGCTCCAAGTTAGCGGAAAAGGCCAAGACCGAATTTACATTTCCCAACTCCCATCGATAGTGGAAATAATCGATTTTTTCATGCTTCTACGGCAGTTTTCATGTAGTTTGCGGCCATTTTCTACTGGCCAGAGTGAGAGCCAACAGTTGACTGACACGAATGTTAACTAGCGTACTAGTATGCAAAAAAAAAAAAAAAAAAATTTAAATCGATAGCTGCATTCGTCAGAAGTGGGAAAAATTTAAATCTGCATGGCACTTTACTCCAATTGGCTCATTCGCTTGCTTAAACTCAACGTTGATTCTTATTCCGCAAAACTGGGTTGGGTGGGAAAAAGTATTTGTTGTTAACATTCTTTTTTCATTCGGTTTTTCCAGTTACGAGTCCTTTTTTAAAGCTGATCGTTTTGTGTTCATTTTGTTTAGTTCTTTTTTCGTAACAGATTTAATGTTTAGTATAGAGCTTAGAAAAAATTCGCAGTGTGAGATAGGCAAGAAGTAAGGCATGTAGCAACATCAGCACGGCAAAGGGCACTCCTTTAAAGGCTAGGAAGGGCAAAAATATTTAAAGTCAAGTGATAGCGATTGCCGCATGAGTCGTATGATTTTTGTATCAAGCATGAGCAACGCCAGGCCATGCTGCTAGTAGTTTTATAAAATTATAGGTTTATATAAGATTCAACATAATATGTCGTGAAAATGGCCTATGTAAACCAATAATAATAGTAATAATGGTAATGTTAGTATTAATCGTTTCCCTACAAAAAACATTCGGAATTCATTGATCGGCCAGCCGGTACTGCTTTCTGTTGAAATTCCTAAAATCTTTATCTTAAAACAATTTTTCAAGAAATCAGGTTTCTCAAGTCCAGTAGCTGATATCACTATTTCCAGTATTGAAGTGATTTCTTTCCTAACCTTTTATTTGATGTTGTGTCATCATATTCATTATGTCATAATTATAAATTATATAGATTATAATTATAATTATAATTAAATTATAATTCATTATGTCATTATTTTCTCTGAAGGCAACATGTGCTATCCATTTTAGTTTTTACTGCTGCTAATATTTAAAGTGATTTGGTATCTGTTATTAGGTACAGTGCTTTTTTGTGATTCTATAAAGCCAGTCCACAATTTTCAAAGAATGATGATCATTGCCAAGACTCTCAGGCTTCACTCGCTCAAGGCCTTTTTTTTAACCATTGGTCTTAGATATCAACTGTATTCACTGACAGTTGGGATATTTCTAAACGGTTTTGACGCCATGCTTGACATCCATATGAAAGTCTCGAACTAACGTGACTCGTTAAGACCACGACTCAAGTTTTCAGCAATAATTTAATAAAATTTAGTAAGACTTAATATAATCAAATAACAGCAACAGCAATAATAATAATAATAATAATAATAATAATAATAATAAAAATAATAATAATAATAACTCATTCAAAATAGATTCAAATAAAGTGTAATGTATCCTTATTTTGCAATATTAACATTTTGACATGGAGCCAATAAAAAAGGTAATGGTCGAAAGAAGCTAATTGGGAAAATCATTAACAAAGACAGAAAGAAGAAAAAGAAGGAGGAGGAGAAGAAGAAGAAAAAGAAGAAGAAGAAGAAGAAGAAGAAGAAGAAGAAGAAGAAGAAGAAGCAAAATGATATAAAGAAGGAAAAGGAAAACACTGAATAAAAGAATTCATTGATTATGAACGTGATGATAGTCGTGATAATGATGACGCTGAAGACGTAGAAAAAGTGATAGATGAAATGACGCGAAGATATCGGCTAATTGACAGGCAGCCGAGCGAACGGTTGGCCGGACCAGCAACTTCAACTGACAGATAAGGAACGGAACCCATTCTAAAAATAAGCACATATTGCACAGAGAAAAGAGCTAATGAATATCATAACTTCAACGGGTAGATGCGTTTTTCCCTTTGGCATTTAAAATCTCGAGCGGAATCGGAGATTGCACAAATGTCTCGGGACATTGCAGTCAGCCAATAAATAATCCCGTGAACATTTAAAAAAACGGAGAAATTTTTGTATCGAAGCAATATCGCCTATTTTACAAATTCTGTTGCATTATTTTCTGACAGCCATGCTTAAAAAATCTTACGGGAGAAACAATTTGGAAACAACTGAAATAAAATCAATACAAATTCAAACATACTCTTGTGATGCAAGATTGTTTATTTATTGTAGATTTTCCTATATTAGTATTTATGCCTTTTAATCGTTAAACGGTGTCCTGGGTATGATGATAAAATCCATCCGGTAGCAAGGATCTGATCAGGAGGTTTTGAGGAGAGTGGGACCACCTCTTAATTGCTGTTGCTCCCAAGCTCACCCTGACCCGAGGTGGTAACATCCGTAAGGTTCCCAGCTATGCACAAATATTGAACCCCCAAACTGGGATCAAAACTCTATGAAAGTATACGAATACATTTTTCTAGTACAAATTCCTAGCAAATAGATAGTAAAGAAGCAAAATATTTGGAGCAATATATTTTTATAGTGAAAAAAAACAAAAAAACAAACTCCCCCCCCCACCTAAAAAAAAAAACATGCAAAAGTTCTCAAGGAAGTTAAATGACCCATAAGGAGTGCTCCAATGTCTTAACCAGGTATTGAATTCACAACTCTTTGGATTCTGTCATTGGATATAACCAACGCCTTTATGGTTAAGGCATTGGAGAATTTGGAGAGGTGAATTAACAGGAGATAACTGATAACTGACAATTAGACATGGCACGTGGAACTAGAACAGTCTACCACAGAGAGCGCAATAAAGGGTTCAGTTCGACATTCCAACCACCTGAAGAAGGCCGGAGCGTACAACGGCCGAAACGTTGTGATAAATATGGCAACAAAGATGATATATAGTCCGAATAATGTAAATAGTGTACATAATACCCCATCTCAGAAATATAGACAGATACAGATAGTAGAGTAGTTACAAGTTGCCTTCTTCACAATTTTTAATTCAAAGTTGTCTTTCTCCTAGGCCGGATGCCATCAATAGCTCAGGATAACTTGTTATTTAGCCC